TACACTCGAAATCAAATTTACCGAAGTGATTTCATTTTCCGCATTATCATAATCCCCTTTTCCGGGATCTTCAAACAAAGCAAACATCATAAAAATGTTAACGACTTAAAAGTATTTACGATATTGTATGATTAGAGAGGTAATAGTTCACTTTTTCAGCTACCACTTAAATATATATAAAGGTATACTAATATCCTCATAATCTAAGTAACATTCAGAAATTTATATATCAGATACCCTTATAGTGTATAAATAAAATATAGTGTATTAACCGTTGAGCAAATGGAGCGACTGTGTTTGCCGTGTAATTGATTTAAATACTGCAATCGAGCGTATGTAGCATTCCTTTAGATAATGACCGTAAAGGGTCTACAAACACACAAAACTTGAGATTCCATAAAAAAAAAAAAGAAGGAAATTTTACTAAACTTATATTAATAGCGGACGGTGATGACAAATGATTCCGATTAGCTTACGGTTACAATGTATTCGTTTTTTACTTTCCAACTTTTCTCATGGGTATCCAAGATGCGTCTCAAGTCGCAAATAGTTTTCCCAGTTATTATATTTTTTTACTTTTTAATACGTAATTAAGCGATTACAATGGCTGATTGTAAGCATTAGAGGTTTAATGTGTAATAATAATGAAAAAACGAAAAGGAAGAATTGCGACTGAAAAAAACGAAACAATTTATGCTCATTAAATGAGAGTTGACTATTTGCTTACTGACGAATTTGCAAGATTTATCGGAGCTTCGAAGCTCATAGGCACGTGTACACAGAATGCCACTTATGTGATTATGACAGTTTAAGCATAAAGCATAATAATTACCATCGATTGATAGACGCTATGCATGGGATTCGAGTCACAAAAAAAAAAAAAAAAACAATAACTTCACCTTCAACTTAACCCATCACCAATACCAATCGCTTAATCTCAATGAAATACTGTACATCTAAAATATTCTGTAAATAGCAAGTGAGACAGACAGCTGCGTGAGACGTAAGAACGCATTCTTATAAATACAGAAACAGTTTACATTCATTGTGAAATCAAGATGTACTCCGAGCTATGCGCGTTGTGATAATACCCCATTTTTAAACTTAAGCCTCCGAAATTAGTGAACAATAAATACTCGGGGCACAACTTTTCACTTCAATCTTTGTGTTAATTTGTGATCCAACAACAGATGAAAATAATTATATATTACATTACGAAATTTTACAATTTCAATATTGTGCCGGCATCTTTTAATTATAAACCTAAAATGTCATATACACATATACATGAAAATCATATGATAGTAAAAAAACATACAAGTAATAATCTGCTTAACTGTAATGTAGCATATCATGTATGCCAACTATGCCTAAGCCATTACAATGGCACAAGTTCAAACGTTATTGTCGGACAAGGTCGGACGTTAAACATTTAATATCATTAGTTTCTTTTTAAAAAGTAGAAAATATATATATATTATTATTATTATTATTATTATTATTATTAATTTAGCCAGAAAAATAAATTCTCAGAGTAAAGTCGTAAAGCACTTGCTCTACCGTACATGGGATTTCAAATCAGAAAATATGTATAAGAAAATTAACAATAATAATAATATGTAAAATAAAAATATTGAACCTTATTATCATATAAAGACTCACTTGTCGTTAGAATCCTGATATATATAGGAGAGATTCGAAAAATAGATCAATCAATACGATCCAAGCTTAAAATAGGAATGTATGAAAGCATTTATATGTGAAGAAGTTTAATAAATTCTCCGATCTAATTGATATTAACCAGTCGTTGTAAAAATGGTCCGATTCATCTTTAGATGCAAATTTCATCAAAATGTAACAGACAGACGGACAGACAAATAACGTACATACAACATTTTCACTGTGTCAATTATTATTACAGATATAATATATAAAATATAAAACATAAAACGCTCCCTTTAGCCGATATTTAAAGCTAACCTGATGGCAGTAAGTCCGAATTCTTATATTCACCAAAAAAATAGCAGACAATCTTGCGACATCAATTCGTGATGGAGGAAACTTTATATATTTTTGCTGCTAGTTTATGAGTTTGGCTTATCAACGGAGAGAGTATATAAAATTTTCACATCAATTCTGTAACTCGGTACATTATTACTCTGCGACATTTGTTGAAGAATTTTTTAAAGTTTCAAATTAGTCTGGAATGAAAACTTTATCAGCATAACGACTATCGCATTATTGACTTCGTTAGTTTACAAAATGCTCTGTAAGTAAAACCATAATCGATTGATTACATTTTTACATCTTCCGTCGAAGATTTGCAATGTTGCTGCATTTGATAAATTTTGTTACCATTTGTTGCATTTTTTTAATGCCAAACAATGGATTATGTTCAAATATGTATAAAAAAAAAAATAAATACAAAAATAAATGAAATAAAACAAGTAGGAAAAATTTATTCGGCTGTGGCCGAGTCTTTTATATCCAACACCTTTTTTTGAAGTAAAAAAAAAGTCACCGCAAAAATAAAATTTTTTTGCCTTACAATGTTGGCTGGTTGGGGACGCGTATTCTCGCATGTGTACAAAGACATTTTTGAAGAATACGTATAATGAATATGAGTAAGGAGCATTTTTTAACTTTTGAAGACAAAGATGTCCTGAATGTATGTCGCACTGTAGAGGTATTCTTTGACCGATTTGTCCAATTTTCAATAGCAATTGTCATGCGAGAACTTCTAATATTTGTCACGAATTTGAAGACTACAATTTCATTTTTGCGACCAGTAGAGTATTTATCACAAATGGATAGACGGACGGAAATTTGATACTGGTCAAGAATATATATATACCTCATGCGGTATCAGAAACTTTCTTTCAGATGCTCCGATCGGGTGCGGGCCTTAAAATTGAATTTCTTGCATACAACGTATTAAATGTTATTTACTAATTGCCTACTTTTAGGCTGTAGGTTTGAAATCATCATGCCTTGAAACTAAAGAATTTGTAAAAAATTAAAAAATACAACATTTTTTTATAAACTGAATAAATGCATTCATAATGTCAGGATAAAAAAAATGGAAGAACTTATGTTATGTAATATGTGTTCTTTATTTCTCCTGCTTAAAAGACTTGTAAAAACTCCTATTATCGTATTAATGGGAACTATACTTTTCGTTAATTATAAACAATGTTGATATTTTAGGCTGATGTTTAGCGGATGCATATATTAGAGTTGCCTATCAGCCATAATGGTAAAGTTGCCAACATCTTAAATAGGAGGTATCGATAATTTACTTTATGCGAAAGGGTGATAAAGTGCTTTCTAAACAACATTAACGATTAAATTTGAAAAAAAAATTAATTTCTCCTTTTAATATATACATAATTCGCTACGACTTGTCATATTTTAAAGCTGCGCATATTCTTCCTCTCTCTTTCTAGCTCTATATTTATTCATACAACGCATAGAAGAAAGTTGCACAAAAAAAATCGCACAGAACAAATAAATCGCATAAAACAAATGGCACAAAAAAAATATCGCACAAACTAGATTTAGCCATTATTATTATCATTATTATTATAATTTTAGACTAATGAAATAAATTCTTAGACTAGAAAAAAGACATTCAGCACTGGCAACGGATAGATTTAACTATACTTTGAAAACTTGTGTCCGCACTACTGATGTTACATATTGAAGTAAAAAGATTAACTGACTTTTCAAATCTGATATTTTGTGTCAATAAAGTGAACGAAATAGCGACCAAAGTTTTAACGTAAAATAATTATGTATGCGAAGCATACTATGGCTGGACTTCTTGCTTTGTAATAAAAGAACAAAGTCGGATATCTGCCTGTGTGTGTTGAAATTTCCCAAAATTGAGAAATTGCAAGAAATCAAATAAAATTCTGCTTCAACTGCGACACCAAAAACCAAATAAAACCGAAATTAAAGGAAAAAAGAGATGAAAAGATATTAAAAGACTTTAAGAAATGCAAAAATTGTTAAAGAAGGAAAAATTTCTCAATCAAAGGATCTTGAAATATAGATGGCAGCACTTCATAGATAATTCGGTAAGCTTAAGAAAGAAAGTAATTTCTCAAGAAGAAAAAACATTCGTTTCTTTTTTTACTCTATAATTAGATATTACTTTGGTTGCAAAGATATGTTTTACTTGAAATTCTCGGGCGAAACTGCGTCAAAGGGGCGCCTGCTAGAAAGTAACGGTCGAATTTTGCCTCTTGACTTTGAAGTTTTATAAAGCATTAGCTAACGTCTTTCAGGATGTCTTATGGTCATATCTGAAAGCATTTCCAAATAAATTCATTAAGACGACCTTTGAATGGATATGAGTCTGAGGAAGATTCGTAACGTGAAATTTATTTAAGATTCCATCTCTGGAATTGTAGATACTGTCTTGCCGTGCTCTCGGCGATTTTTTAACGCGTAAATGGAAATGCGACTTATCGGTCGTGATTTTTGCGATATTTTGTCAAATTTCGTGTACTGACATATTTTGATCTAAGAACGAACACTAATGAATAATATTAAATAATCTTTCCGAGAGTGAGAAAATAAATTACAAATTAAGGCTTATATATATGTAATCCTCATATTACAATCGCGATAGCGCATAAGAGAAGACATTTTCAAAATTACACGACACGTGCAATAGAATCCATTTTTTTTTATATATAAATAATGTAAAAGTTGTGTCATCAAATTGTGCATGTAAATGCAGGCTCGTCTTCTATTGCTAGCAGATGGTAAAGCCTTAAAAATAAAATTTACTTAAAAGGGTTAATGTACGAATTTTTCGATTAAATCGAAGTGCTTTTAACTGGTATTGTGTGCCATAGGCATCGTTTTGCAAATATTAATTAAACATAAATTGATTAAACTGCCATAACGGGAAGGTTTAAATTATATATAATAAGCAATTGAACGCCCGCATCTCTTTAAACATCTCAATAAATAGGTTAGAAAAACATGACTTCAGAAAATGTAAGCGAATTAACTTTAATTACACAATACATAATAATTACAATTACTTAATTTGGGAAGATTCTCTTATCCATATTTGTAAAGCAACTCGTAATTGAGGTCAATAAAATTTCGGTAACATCCAATATATCCGCTTCAGCAAACCGAAAGTCGACAATGTTAAAAACGGAATCATTATTCTATGGCCGGAGCTTGAAATACTTTCACAAACTTTACGTATAGATTCGGTGTAAAGACCACGTCTTGTCAATAAATTGCGTATACTTCGTATTGTCTGGAAAAAGAAAAAAATTCAATAATATGCCTTTTATAAATATGATATAATCGACTAATAAGAGACATAACAGCATACGTCAAAGTAATTGAAACTAAGCTGTCAAACAATTTCGTCCATTGCTTAATTGAAAGCAAGTAAGAAGTAAAACTTTTCACTTTTGGACCCGCAGGTAACACGTTTCGTGTTTGGTGTTTCATCACAAGATTCTCCTCAATTTTGCCCATCCGATATCTGAACTTATAAAAATCACCTCTGGTTTACATTTTAGATAAGTAGTTATGTAGAATTTTACACAAAATATACAATTAGAATTCTTTTCGATTTAGCAATTTCTTTCTAATACTCATCACCGAAGCGTGAGGGGTATATTCATTTTGTCAAAACGTTTGCAACGCCCAGAAGGAATCATCAGCGACTATTGATCAACATCAAGTTCTCCTGGCCGCAAAAGTAAAGCTGCTGACTTCAAATTTGTCAGAACCATTAGAAGTTCTTGCGTACAGTATGGTATTGAAAATGGGCCAAATCGGACACGCCCACGGCACCGCGTAAACTGAGAACACCTCTGTTGTTAAAAAAAAAAAATGAAAAATTATTTTTTCGCTCATTACTTACAAATGTACAAAAATTTGAACGTATATTCTATGGGCGACGCTGTACCATTTTTGTACTAAAATGGAAAAAATTGACCACGCTTATCTAATATTATAGTATATCGAAATGTAATTGTTTTTTCAATACCCTTATATCGCGCAGACACAAACTTCAAAACCTCTATATAAAGCAAATAAATTCAAATTTTAACTGCACTTAAACGGGTCCGGCTATTCCTCTGTCCAGCTGTTTGTTGCCGCAACTTTGTACTTATTGTGATAAATATTCTCGCGTTGGCGAACGTGAAGATATCGCCTATAAATTTGCAAAACTTTGCAAAGATTTACAGAAACTTTTATTTAAAAAGAAGAAGAAAAAATCAGCTGCGCGCAATGCATATTATGGAGAGTCGGCCCCGACCGAATTTAATTTTCTTACTTGTTTTGTTTTGGTTTCTCGCGCCTATATTCACAACTTGAACTAACGTAAGAATTTATATGCCGATCGTCGTCGCTCTCCCTTCATTTTCTGAACGTGGGAAAAAATGAATTCTGAATGAGCAAAGTGACGAATGGAGAATTTAAGTACATTTAGGAAGATGTGTTATTTTCCCCCTTATAATAATGAAATTAAATTAAATTGAAAGTGTATTTATGCTGTTACGACATCCAAACGTAAATCTAATTTGAATTAATTTACTAAACATACAACTGAATTTAAGCCTTCCGGGTTTCTGCTCAACACGATGGTATATATAGAGTGATGCATGTCACTGCCGCAAAATGTCAAAACTAAATGATCATTAATCGAGTTAACCACCTGAACTCTGCCATTGAATTGCGTGTATTGATTGAGCGCTACCATCGAACCTCGCTGCTCACCCATATTATGCCAGAGTCCCGGTCGATTCATCGTATAATTAAAATTATATTCAATATTTAAATCTTTCTCACTCCATATTAAACGTAAGTAACGTACACTGGCATGTAACGGTTCATATTCATCTACTGATTGAGTCACCGCACTTGCACTATCCATTGTGGTCGGTGCTCTATAGTTGTGATAATTGTAATCATGCATCTATATATATGTATGTACGAATATGATTATTATTCATTTACGTATAAGTGCGTATGTAAGTATTGTGGGAAAATGTGAAAATAAAAAATTTATTTACAACAATTTATTGTTTATACCGTTTATACTACTTTACTCACTTGTTCGGTAATATCGTTAATATAAACAATCACACAACTGTGATATTGATATACTCCTGGTAAATCTTGTGTGTGTATTATGATCTCATTACCATACCATTTCCCAGATATATAAATAATAATAAAAAAAAAAAAAACAAATGAGAAAATTAAATACGGTCGAGAACGAACGAGAATCTTTTATACCGTTACACCGTTATCCTCAAAAAGACAAAAGAAGTAAAAGAACAAAATTTCCATTCACCAAAATAAGGAGGGGGCGCGGTTGATGTTTTTGATTTTCAAAATAAAAGTTTTTGTCGTATAGGCGCGTGGGCATTGTGGGCGCGTCCTTTGAAAAATTTATGGCACTTTCAAAATCTTTTGCAAGTTTGTAGGCGTACAGATTTATGGGCGAACAGACGGATATGGTTAGGTGCACTCCAAATTTGAAACTGCCCAAGAATTTATGTACTTTATGGGGTTTTATGGCTTCATTTTTAATGTACTATAATATTGGGTAGGGTGGGTCCATTTTTATCCATTTCCTACAGCATCGCCCACAGTATATGCGTTCAAATTTTTAAACATTTATCTGCTGCAAAAAACCAATTTTGTTTTTCCTTTTGAGAAACTAAGTTGTTCTCAGTTAACGTGCTGCTATGGGTGCGTCCTTCAATCGATTTGGCCCATTCTTAATACTAGCCTGCATGCAAGAATTTTCCATGTTTCTGCCGACAGCGAAGTCGATAGCTTCATTTTTGCGGCTAGAAGAATATTTACAGCAGGCATTACATAAGCGGACAGACGGACATGCTTAAATCGATTTAGAATTTAATGTTGATCAAGAATATATATATATTTATATATCTATATTTCTATATCTATATATCTCTCTCTCTATATTCTTCTTGGCGTTGCAAACGCTTTGACAAAATGAATGTAACCCCCACCCTTGGGTAGTAGATAATAATAATAATAATAACAATAATAATAACTGTAATAAATATTTGCATAAAGGTCTATTTATTAATTTATTTCAATGAGTCACGTGATTAATCCAATAAGAATTGAAATTATTATTATATTAAATGTAGAAGAGCAATAACGCACATACCCAGGCATTCAACTCACGCAGGTCAACTTTAAGTTCAGTAACAAATTTAAATTAAATTAATTAATCGCAAAAATCAAATAATATAACATACAGTTGCGTACATGCACTTATCGTAATGGAAGCGATGTAATAAGTTCGCGAAACTGCACGCCATGGAATGTTTTCTGGCCAGAGCCAATGCTCCGTTAGAATAAAAATAAGAGAACATCTAATAAAAAGATTTACTTACTTCAATTAAAAAGGCAAGTAAGGAAATTGCACTGACTTTAGTGGGCGATAACCCCGATCGATATGTTGTTGCATTTTGCGTAATAAGAAAAACCTTAACATTTTCATATCTTAAAATTTTTCACAGCTTCTTCTCTTTTTCTTTTTTATTTTCAACAATAGAAGCTTTGTTAGTACAAAAGTCCCACCTATTTTTAAATCCTATCTTTGAGTAACAATTAAGAACATAAGTGAATGTTTTTTTTTGCTTATATCATATACGCAACTCAAACACGGATAGACAGATGGTTATGGTTAAGGCTGCTTTTAAATTGTAAGCTAAATAAAGATATATTCAATTAATCGAGATCTTGATGCATCAATCAGGCAGCGACAACGAAATGAACGCACGGATAGTTGAACGGGGTTATAAACCATTTCGCAATCTTATGCTTATAACAATGTACATGTTTTATGGAGCCTCGGGCAGGTATTTATTGAATTTACAAACGAGATGACAAATATAGTGTTCGGGGATGGATATGGATTAATGGGTGATATAGAAAAGTCTCCGCTGTCTTTTGGTTTTCTTTTGAGCTCCTTCTTGTAGCCTATTCTTTTCAAATGACTCCCAACGGCTATGCGGTTTAGTTTAGTGTCTCCGCTATTGCCTGACATCTTGTGGGCCGGCCTTGCTTCATCAATTGTAAAATTTCATCGACTTTTTCAGTGACTGGCCGACCAGAGCGAAATGCATTTTTGACATTGAAATTTCGGGAGTGGAATCGTGCAAACCACCTCTGCGTTCTTCGTTCACTCACAGCATACTTCACAAATGTATCGGCATATTTCACTTGTTTTTATACTAAAACAAGCATCACGTAGCGTATTGCTTTAGATATTTCACTTATTTTCTAATCAATAACACTTTTTACACGAGTAAAGAACTAGAAAACCATCTTCACAAACTATCATGTAAGCCGAAATATCACCTTTTAAGCACATGTTCGTTTAAAACAATCAGGTGAGTGTTGCCCGATATATAGACATCAACACCATCTAGCGGCAAAACACTGCGGAAACATTTTATATCACCGATTACATCATCATCATGTACCTGTATAGTAAAAGTATGTCGTTCATTGAACTTTTCTTGTGCAAATGTTGAAAGTGCGTACGGACCAACATACTATCGTCTAAGCTCCAATAAATCCAGAATTTATGCAAATAATTTTTTATGTTTATCAAGAGGGAATAATACGTGTAAGTTATTTATAAAGAATTTGCGATATTTTAACGATACGCCAGATAACGGTCCGTATTGCTTTATAACAAATCATAACGCTCATTGCGTTGCTAAAAACGGATAGTTATGATAAATATATCGATTTTGGTATGTGAGCGCATGACAAGAGTTTTGAAATACAATATCTTTGCTGCTCTTGCAAACATTCCTATAAATAACAGTTAATTGATCAAATTTCATCAAATTCGGATTAATAATGATTCCGGCGGGAATGCTATATGACTGCATGGAGCGTTATAACAAGAAAATCGCAGTACCCAGATTTCTTTATGACTCATGGTGCTGATAGTCTCGATTTTATTGCAAGGAAACACCGAAGAAGTGTTTTTCAAATGGGAAGCATTTGCTATGCGAGAAAGAAAGAGCAGAGCAAATAGATGTATGATTTTATTTCACTTCGATTCTTCAGACTAATACCAAGTATAGTTAACTTGACAACGCAGCATGTGAATTAGAAAAGCTATGCCCGCTTAGAATTGCTCCTAACCGTGTATCTCGAGTTTAAGTAAAGTTAGCCGCACTTTCGTTTCTTGTTCGCCATTTAGTTTGCATGAGAGTAGTCTTCAGTTAACATAAGATTAGTCTACATTTATTGATTTTCTTCACAAGAGAGAAAGAGAGAGATTTGGTGCTAATGGTGTCCCGTCGCCCAGTACACTCTCTGTTCCAGATGAATTTATGCCAAACTGTTATCGAATTTGCAATATCGCGGCATTTAAATTGGGCATCAGCAGCAGCGTTGCTATCTCATTTGCCCTGGATCATTCGTGACGACAATTCGTTAAAACAATTCACTAGTAGACAATCATCGTCGCTATCCGTTCCGGTCCCACTTTTAAGTCGAAACAAACTTTTCTATATAATTTCCTGACCACCGCCTTACCTACACACATATACGGAACTTTCCCTGAGACATTGGTCACTAAAATGCTTGATAGTTCTAAGCCAGTTGACCAATGATCACAATTTCCAAACAGTTCAGGTGATTTAGATTAGTTTTCCATTCGTTCTAATGTTCCAAAAGATATATCGAAGTATGCTGATGAAGGACGAACAAAAAAAAAAAAAAGACTATATCCGTTTGAAATAAAACGTTAAGCAAAAAAATTGATTAAAATGTATTCGATCAATTTCATAAGGATGCCAACTTCCCCGCGAAGGTTCACTACAGTGCTGATGACTTACACTGTGGTATCCTTTGCTAAGAAGAGCCTTTGTATGTTGACCGTAATACACATATGCTATAGCATGTTGTTGGACGATAATAACTGTTAGAGAACGAAGTGAAGCAAATAGACGCGTATAAAAAAGGAGATCAATTAATGCTTTCAAACAATGTTAAATGGTAAACATGTACAAATGAGTTAAGTTGCATTCAAATGTAATTTGCAAATGCCTTGTCAGTCTTAATCTTTATTACTGCAAGTAGATTTAAATTTCCTTAACACAATTTTCAAATGGACATGGACGGAGATTAGAACGAACATACTTGTTTTATATCCACAGAATGTTGAGGCTTAATATTTTGACATAACATCGAGGGTGGATGATGTTGCTGCTGTTCTGATTGTTGTTGTAGTACTGTTAACTCTCCTTCTCTATTTAAACGGGATGGCAAATACATTTCTTTACTATCACTCAGTGATAGTGACAGCAGTATAAATGAGAAGTAAATGATTTTAAACATTTTTATATAAAAATAGAAACGAGAAAGATTCCACCGCGATAGAAACTAAAGTCCGTGTTAATATAATAGCGTTCGATGATCCGCGCAATACTAAGCTACTGAAGTTCATCAATTGAGCTCATCTAGTCTAGTGAAAAATGCTATAAAAAGGGAAAATGCACTAAACAAGACGACAATAACAAAAATAATAATTGAACATACGTAAATGGTGGTATTGTAGCTTATACATACATATCATAATGTGGACATTTTAAATGTTTATACAAAATTACAACAATTGCTTCTGAGGTCCACTCGTTACGCATATTAGTTTGCAGAAGTTCTTCAATAAGAGCGAATATACGAATATTTATATGTATGTGTCGATGTATATGTATGAATGTATATACATATACATATATATATACATATATATATATGTATGTAGTTATTCATCCAATGTAAAATGTTTCAATTGACTTAATTGCAAAAACTGCCAAATATTTGATAGCAATAATGAGTAAAGACATTTCAACGATAAGTTTATTATAGGCTATATAAGGTTTTTCAGAAAAAAAAAAAAAAAACAAAGTTATAAAGAGGATTTTGAGGAGAGATGTCGGTTAATCAGTAAGAATTAAAATATTTGAAGAAACTAAGAAATTTAAAACTTTCGCACTTCAATTAAACGTCAGTCCTTAATAGTATATATAAATGGCTCTTAACGGCCTCAAAATTCCTAGAAAAGACTGAAAAAGACTGATAATATGAAAATCATTATGCTTAATAACCAATCATAACAAGAGAACTCAAACACAAATATATGCAATCCCTGTAGGCCACAGAATACCTGTAGCTCTTCACCTTTCTTTATACGTGTGATAAATGCTATTGTCTGTGCGTAAGCGTAAGTGATGTGAAAGAGTACAATTCTTGGCGGTTTTTGAAAGGCGAGCGGGCATTCATGATTCATCTTATCTTAAGATGCATAAAGCATTTCTTACTATTTATTGATTTATGGTTTATTTTCCTAATTATATAAGATCGGTTTTATATCGTTTGTTAAATATTTTTAAAAATATTTATAGTTTTCCTTGCTGTATCATCAAATTGATTTTTTCATGTATCCAATCGATATATTTCTCAACGCGTACATATACCCCCGGACGATTGGCGTAACCGCAATGTTGGCCCCACGATATAATGCCGTATAAAGTTTCACCAGCTATGTAAATGTAGAAAAATTCATTATATCCGTTAAAACAATTTCATTTAATACGTACCCGCATCTGAACATACTAGAGGACCACCGGAATCACCATCGCAGGCATCAACGCTTTCGTCTAAAGAACCTGCACAAAACATACCATCAGTCATAGCATTGCCGTAGACATGCTTCTGATGGCAAACTTCGTCGGGTAAAATAGGCACTTGAGCCGCTCTTAAAATATTCGAAGGAGCTGCAATATCAGGTATTTGTGTCACTTATAAAACATAATCTCAATCATATTTGAAGACCTCAGATCACTTACTAGACACTCCAGATTTAATTGAGCCCCAGCCGGATATTGTGCACACGCGATTAGTTTCTAAATGCGATGTTTTCTCAGGTAAACACACCGGCTGTACATAATCATTAAACCTAACTGGATTCTTTAATAGAACTAAAGCTATGTCATTGTTCATATGCTTCTGATCGCGAAATTTCTCATGTATATACCAATTATCAATATAGGAATCAACTTCGGATGCTTCGGCTATATTAGCGTAATGATCGCCCATACGCACAAAATATGAACCCTTTGGGTAACCGGCTAAACAATGTGCCGCCGTAAGAAGTAAACGCTTCGAAATTAAAACAGCTCCACACCAATGGCTAGAAATACCACCACGTCCTCTTGTACGTATTGTAGCTTGCCAAGGATGATGTCCCCGTTTTGCTTTTGTACCGTTTATAACTCGTTCTTCAGGGTGTTCATATTCGTCTAATAAATCCATTTTAAAATGGCCACAACGCTTCTGATGCTTCACTGCTTTACTGGAACGTTGCCAGAGATTTTGATATAAACCTAAATCATCGAAATCGGAATCATCGAGTTCTGTTGAATGCTTCTGATCGTGTTGATGTTCCTTGAAATCACGCCCACTGGCTATAAGCTGAGTGTTTGGTTGTCGTACTACGGGCGGTTTGGAACCATAGTTACAGCTAAGACTTACATCCTCTGTATGATTGCAGTTGTTTTCACCCCATGTCCAATGGTTGCATTTATCTAAAGCGGTCTCGTTACCTAAACATGAGACTTGATCAAGCCAAATGGGTCCACTGCCAGGACCATAAATGTTTTTAACAATATCCTAGCAAAAGGACACAATAATGAAAAACTTGCAATTCGTTACAATTGGTACATTAACGTACAGGTTTCCCGTAGTAACCCAAAGAATTGCAAACTACCTGAGCCTCATTTAGGGTGAAATCGTCGTCACACACCGAACCCCATTCGCCACGATAATATACCTCTAGACGTCCCTCCAACTTGGTACGTCCTCCTTCTAATCGATATTCAATTGGAGCCTGGAAATGTTTACCTCAGATTTATTTATTCTTCGTAACATATTTTCCTCACGAACATTACAAATTTGTTCACTTTCATCGGAACCATCAGCGCAATCCGCCGTTATATCGCACACAAATGCTGTCGGAATACATTCTTTGGACGTAGTGCATAACCAATAATTATCCGGGCACTTTAATTTAGGTATCTTACAGACCACACCCACAACTTCTTCGGGACTGCAGTTGTTAACACCCCAACCGCTGAAGTCACATTCCCGCAGAGATGTTTCATTACCCTGACACTCCACTTTATCCATAATGAAAGTAGGATTCACATCTGTTGGCGGGTAAAAGGAATTGCCACGAATCTCCACGGCTCCCAATTTGAAGCCGAGCTCCTTGCACAGGACATCGGCATCGCGTAAACCAAATTTATCGTCACACACATATCCCCAATCACCGAGAACTGTAGCACCATAAATAAGCATTAGAATGAAAAGCTTTTCAGTTAATTTTTTTTTTTTTTGGGTTAATCACTTACTCTTCACTTCAACTCTTCCCATATGAGAACTTTCACCACCTGTTAAACGTACCTCGTAACCTAAATGTTCGCAATGTTTCTCATCCTGTCGATTACCGCAATTATTAACACCATTGCAAATCTGTAGATGGACAGAAAAATAAAACTTTTTAGACGACAGCAAAAGTGAAGCGTCACCGCAGAGGCAGAAAAAAAATGGATTTTTAAAAAACAGCTTTTAATAATCAAAAATTTTCAAAAATTTCTGTCTATAGTATAGGGTCTATTATATGCTCTGCAGTTCGACCTCACTAACTTCTTTACCATTTCCTTCAACTCACCTCATGGTTTTGCACACATTTACCATTGCCACAATCGAAGGGGCATGGTATACTATTGCTTCTTAAGTCTATAACTTCTTCTTTTGGTGTAGTAGCCTCTATTTGTGGAATTATGGGTATATCGCGATCGGAATTTTCCAACTCTTCATTAGCAAAAGGATTTGGTAGGTGGGGATGAATTCTATGAAATTCTCGGTTATGGTGTTGATGATCACGATGATGGGGATGGCGATGCTGAAATCTATGTTTATGGCTCTTGTAATGATGTTTATGCCAATTAGAGTGATGATGAGGCACAGATGAGGAAGATATATATGTACGTTCATTCTCTAATCGATTTGGTTGCATGTCGTTTTCATTTGGCGCATTTGAAATTGATTCAGTTACTGCGCCTGGCGGGCCTACTAAATTATGTTGCTCACCTGCGAGTATAAGTTCAGCATCTGGTTGTTTGTGTGTATTTTTGCTTTTGGTCAATACGAAAGGTTTGATTGTTGTGGTAGTAGTGGTGGAAGTCGTAGTACTAGTAGTAATGGTTTGCTTAACCAAATTCATAATATGCTCTTGAGCCCTTTCAGCCATTTCATCCCTAACATCATCGTTACGACCTGCATAAGGACGTAATAATAACTTAAGGGCTTCGTTAATCTGTAAGTCTTGAGCATCCATCTCGGCAGATGAAAACCGCTCGTCGTTGTTACTACTTCGTGATTGCTCAGTGTTCGCAGGCTGATAATAATGGTCGTTGTAACCCTGAACGGAACCCGAAGTTGTGGTGGCGAGAACGCTACTATCTTCGTTATTTCTGTCATCTTGATTTTTATCATTGTGATGATTTGGATGTGGATTGGAATGGAGAGGTTTTACTAAAGAATATTGGGGCATTTTTCTACCAGTGGAGCTACTGGACCAGGATGTGTTACGGGAATGGGCCACACCCGAGTAGGAAGGACTATAATGCGGTTGTTGTGAAAAGGTCTTTATGGTGGCGTTAGACAGGTGAGGGTGTACAAGCATAGGAGTATAAACCGTTGGAGTTGTGTTTACGAGAGGTAAAGGTACTTGTCTTTGATGATCATTAAGATCCAAATAGTTTCGAGACGGACAAGGCAAAGGAGGCAATAAGCCGCCATAAAGATTCGTTTGATCCACGATAATTACTTTATCAGAATTGCTGGGAATTTCATCGAAGCTTGAACAATTTTGCGAAGATGCACTCATTGTTGAGAAATTCTCTCCACCTAACGGCAATTGTCCTACATCGTCGTTATATGAAGGTGGCACTATGTGTTGTATAGGAGTTTTCGGTTGATTAGGAAAGGGTACCAAAGGAATAGAATAAACTCGGTTGACTGATTGAGTTCTGACATCATGCGAAGGAGTAGCGGACATTAAATGTGTAGCCGAAGCATCTGCATTAGATGAAAATGTCCTAATGTCATTGGGCGGCCTTAAAGGACGCCAGGGATTGTTGGGGACAGTAAAATTAAACTCCCGACTGTAATTGTGGCGATTTAAATTTTGTCCATGTGGGGATGACGGTGATGAATAGTTGGGATTTTCTGGGCTTTTTAATATATCTCCTGAGTTCTCTTCCCACTCCACAGGCTGGGCGTAATAAATGACTGTATTTGGAGTAGTCACAGTTCCAGGGAACGGTGCTAATGGTGTATTAAACATTTGATTACTGTAATTACGTTTTGGTTGCAAAGATCCTTCTTCATATATCATAGTATGAAGAGGTGTACGCTGTTGCGTCGATGTAGTCCTGTGTAGAGGGGCCTGTTCAACAATGGGATTTATCTGGGACCAAGAAGCAGTTTGATCGTTTTTCGAATTCGATGGTCTGGACCTATTCATAATGACCCAACGATCGCCAGCTTCAGACTTATGTGAAGTAGAACTGGTAGGCGCTTGGGGCAATCCAGGAACTATTTTTCTAGCTTTAGGTGCACAAGTGGCCCGTACTGGATCAAATACTAAACCAGGAGGACAATCCATTGCGGTAGTCCCATGTTGTTGGCAATTTAAAGATTTTTGTTCATTAGAAGAATATTGATCAGGCGGACATATAGCATCTATAACAGAAATTACTTGAATTAAAAGCAGCGAGCCTCTATACACATCTTCCCAACCAACTTGCCATTAAAATCGCTTCGTTTGGGAAACGTTCCAGGATTAGTTGAACAATTCACTTTCGCCATATAATCGCAAACTTCTAGCACTTGATTCCAAGCGGTCCCAGGACCGCAAATCTGCACGTAAACTATACCATTAGAACACATTAAAAATTTCGTGCAATCTTCGGGATGAGCAAAACGTCCACTGATGCCAGGCGGACAATGAACATCGCCATCCGTGGTGGTTGAAAAGTTTGAACCATCCGCTGTGACTGTCCTATGAACTGGACGTTGGGAAACAGCATTAGAACCGTAGCCTGCTTGACTTATTATGTTGCACTTACCATTTTTCGCCGTAGGTATCGAAGGTGGCTGCAAGTTGTGGCTGGCTGCTGTCGCAGGCACTTGTGGCCGATAATAAGTATTAGAGTTGTTAACTGAAAATGGAGCAAATATACTTTCAACCGATTTTACTCCGCTATTGCAACCATTACTTGTACTTATTGGTGTTGACTGCGGCAGTGACGGTTGTGGTTGATTAATATTGAAATTAATTGGCGGTTCTAGTCTGCGACTAGGTATTTGTGGTTGAGAAAAACCGTCCGAACTGTGAACTGAGAATAACCGAAAAAACATTTCATAAATAGTTTCTATTTTATTGTTTGTTATGTTGCACTTACTGTTTGTTGTTACAAAAGTTGATTGTGAGACTGATGATTTTGGCTGATGACCATCTAACATATACGGTCGCTGATTAGATGCTGTTGCCTGCATTGTAGGCGCGTGAAGAGTATTATGATTATGAACTAAAAAGAGAAGGGCTTTTGTTTTTTTAATTCCATTAACACATTTCTTACTTCTTACTGGTTGTAGTTGCGGTTATTGGTGGCGCTGCTAACGGTGGCGGCTCCGGTAATCCATTGTAAAGTGTTGTGGTTAAAGAGCATTTGCCATCTGGTATAACTTCCTCTTGCGGCTGACAAAATCCTCTTGAGACACTAAATACTTGATTGTTTGGGCATTCTTCAACGGTGAGATAACCATTTGCACAACGCACGAATTTTTTACAATCAGAAGGATGTCGATATAAACCAAATGTACCAGGATTGCATGTAACACCAAGATTTAAATCTAAAGGTTTACAACAAATACGATCAATGAAGGAATCAACTTATTGAGAAGTGTTCAAATTCCTGTTGCAATTTCAAAAGTCACCAAAATAGAAATTAAAAGTTAACTATTGTGCTATGTATTTGTGACTTGATTTTTATACTCAGCGGCGAAGGATGAGGCCGTATCCGATAGCAGAACTTAAGAGGAACTTCACCTATCCCTGTATTCTTGATCAATATCAAATTCGAAATCTAATCTACTACGGTAGACTTGTAAGAAGTTTGTAACACACACGGACCCTCCTGAAAATACAACTACTTTCGATCACTGGAAGCAAAGGAGTCAACCAATTTAGACATCTCGGTTCACTTAGATCGCTATTAAAATCATAACTTACAAATATGACGCAATGTGGCAGCATGGGGACATCATCTTAGTTTGTAGAACCATCTCTGAAATGCTGCCAAATTGTATAAAAATGTAACTTGAAATATTATTGAATTATTCACGTGTCCTTTATCCCCTACTCTTGTTTTTCTTCTTGAAAATGGTATCTACCCAAAGAAAATACACTATACCATCTTCCTTTCTTTCTTTCTTTCTTGCTTTAAGTTATGCTGTTGTACCATGAAAACCACTTAGTAAATAAATAATTGAGTAACTCACTCCTTTGATGATCGTGCTCAGAGGTGAATTCATGTTTTGTCGTAATTTTGTATTCGACGCGATCATAAGCCTCAACTTGATCTCGCGGTACGCACTCTCGTCGTGAGATACTAAACACGGAGCCGCCGCTGCATGATTCCACTAACGTTTGACCGCTTGAACATTTTAGATATTTTGTACAATCAAATGGATGCAGGAAATAACCATCCAAACCGGGGGGGGCATATCAAATAAATTAGACCGTCAACTATGATTTATAGTTTTTACATACACTTGACTTTAGTGGGTAAATTATTAAAGGATACAAACCCCTACGCTCCGTTACATCGACATTATAATCAAGACTTTGTTGTGCTTGAGTAGACGGGACGCGGTCATTGCTATTGAGCAAATCCTTAGATTCGCATACGTTGCGTGACAAACTGTAAGCAGCGCCTGAACTACAAGATTCACTCATCAGGTGACCGTTAACACATTTCAAGTATTTAGAAAAATCGAAGGGATGAGGATAAACTCCATTCGAACCGATGGGACAGTAAACCATATTGTGTAGATTATAAGATATTTGTCCAGGATAATTGAATGCACGGAAACGTTCCAAATTTTGAGCTTCGTTGGCAGGTACGCAACTTCCTCTAACAGCGCAATACACTTGCGAATTGGGGCAGAATTCAATTATCATCTGAGTTTGCAAGCATTGAATATATTTTTTCGTATCGAAAGGATACAAATGAAGTCCTTCTGTACCTGGAGGGCAACTGATTAACGTTTGAGCTGTAACACAGGTAAATATTTAATTAATTTTAAATAAATTGCATTGTCACTCATAGTCGTGGTTGGTACTTACCATACTCATAGCTAATTTCGGACACTCTATAGCGCACATACTCGCTTGGCTCAAGTTCGTTCAAACGCTGGCAAAATCTTTTAAATATGCTAAAGGCAGTACCGGGCATGCAATTTTGTATAGCGGTTTTTCCAGATTTACAGTTAATAAATTTCGTGTAATCAAAAGGATACGCGTACATGCCGCTAACGCCGTTAGGGCACATAATGTCGACCGTGTAAGGAGAATTTTGATGTGCCTTGGCATTATGATCCGAAATGTCTCATGTAAAGCAAACATGAAAAGTTAATCACTTGAAAAAGTACTAAAAATATTTAAAAACACAATGCACATACCATGCGGTGCACGCGGTAGGTGACCTGCTCCGCCCTTGCAGTCAGCTTTATCTGGATGAACGCACACTTGCATACTTTTGCTGAATGCGGTCCCGGGACCACAATTTTGTACATGAATGTTACCATTGGCGCAGTTTATAAATTTGGTACAATCATTAGGATAAGGCTGTAATCCTTGCGCTCCGAGCGGACATAAAATATCGACCGCGCCGTCAACAGCGCCATCAATCATTTCACCCATTCGTTTCTTCTGCTTTGACTGCGCCTCCAGCATGCCAAACGCCGCATCGCATTTCACTTTATCTGGTCTATCGCATTCCAGTGTTTCTGGATTGAAAACCGTACCTACCGAGCAAGTCTGCAAATGAGCCTTACCATGCCAACAGTTCAAAAAGCGTCGGCAATCATAGGCGTACGGCAAAGGTCCCATATGACCAGGAGGGCAACCGGTATAATACTCCGTTATAGTATTTTCAGTAACATCCCAATTGCCTGTAGGTGTTAGTTGGGAATGCCTTCTATCATAGATAGGTTTTTCATCATGAATGCCTTGTTCCAAATACGCATCACTTTGCTGTTAATCTCGTTTATTATTTATACATATACAATTGCAATAATATTGATAACCTTACCGTAGCATCTTGTTGTCTTGTTAATGTATTAACCATAGTGGTTGCATGATTTTGTTGTTGATAGTGTGAAGGTTCTGGTTGTTGTTGTCCTTGTTTGCGTTCTTGTAAAAGGACTGCTTCTGGCCGAGGATATGGCTTTGTTTTAATGCCAACATTGTGCTATGGAAATAATCGTTTCATTTATATTAAACAAATAATTATCGGAATTATTCGAGACATTAGAAAATAAATAGAATAGAATGGAATAGAATAGGATAATTACTTAAAGCTGTCCAAAATTTCTTTCTTTTTTTTTTTTTTTTGATTTATACATCTGACATGGAAGTAGACACATCTGGAGCACCAAAGAAGACAACTGCACGAGGAGCGGGTGAGCGAAAATGGGAAGATGGAATAATCTTATTAAAACACTTGGAGAACACTTGCCATCGCGCACATAGTTTCGAAGCAAATCTTGGGAGCTGTCGTCTTCAGGGAGTTCATCGGCAGGGAAGTACTTTTTTCGCATCGCTTTAAAAAACCTAAGCCCTTGACTGTGCACAATTTCGAGCCTTCAAGTGCATATTCCGTCCAACTTAATTCATCTTACATTACCATAGGTCATTAAGAGACAGAGCACCGGAATCAAATGCGAATTTAACTATACGCCACGTATATAAATGTCAAGGCAAGGGTAAATACACTTACATTCAAGTCTTTAGGACAGCACTTTACAATTTTAAGTATGCCTGCCTCACTTATACGTACTGTACTTTATTTTACCGATTTAAAAGAAAAGCTTCAATAAATATGTAGCTTTAGCTTTTTGTACTCTCATGCTCGAAATATCAAGATTTGTTGATTCTTCTACTTTGACATCATCATAGGAAAAGGGGTTTTCATCACTTCTCCTGTGCGATAAGAGATGAAATGCATGTATACATACATATACATATATGTGGAAGCCTTTCTCTACATCTATATATATATATATACGTATATATATACATAAAAATGCGCCATCGAAAAGTGAGGCGAATGGAATCAAACCACAATGATAACAAATTCAAATTTAATAAATAATGTGCTCGCCGAAGAGAGAGCCTTAGATATTTATCACCTCATTTAATCAAATGAGGATCGCATACACTTTTATTAAATTTGAGTGTGTCAGTTGAAAAATTTATTTTGGACCAACCCGTTTTTTCATTTATTTTGCTATTGTAGATAATTCGCGCTTTTTTGCATGCTTAATTTGGAAGCCTTTAATTAAGAAGGTGTATATGCCTTGCGTGCAGGTAGAATAAAACCGCCATACAGGTAGAATAAAACCATCATTTCAGAATGTCAAGCTGTTCAAGAACGAACATATTTTATTAGAGTCTCTGGATACATGTGCTATCAACATATGTTATAAAATTTTTTGTCTTTCAGTGATAGGTCCTAAGTGTTATTATCACTTTCTTCAAATCTAGACCATACGGATGCGTTGAAAGTCAAGCGTAGTCACAGCGATCTGCCGTTTTCTATGACTGTACCTATAATCAATATTTTCAATCTTCTTGCTCAAACCCAAAATACATCAAATTCTTATACAAGGTAACTTATTTCACTTTGAAATTGCTTTTACGTAATTCATTGTGGACACATTGCAGTGATATGTTATAAAAATAGAAGTAGAATTAATTGGACTCAAATGCTAATCTATGAGGAATATGAGCTTAAGGCATGAGCTGATTACACTGATTTTATTTGCTTGCAAGCTTAATACATTTAAAGATTGTTTAATACTTTGGATGAAGCCATCTTTCTACAGTCCGTAAATGCTTACATGAAAAAAAACAAAAGCAAGCAAGAGGAGCTTATTCCAAAATTCAGTTCACATACCACATAATTGCGTCTACGATTATTATTTATTGCTTTTCGAATTTTAAACAGTGTTAAATAAATAAATATCAATTGTCGTTACATGTAATCAAAAGTACTTTTTCCATGGATACATATGTAATGCTTATATAGGCACATTACGCAGGCATGCAGAAACGTATAAACACATTTCTACTTAATTAACTGTATCCCAAACACACATTTATGCGTGTTATTTATTAAAAGCATTGATTTCATTCAACACAAAATTTAGTTTAAAAAATAAATAAAAAAAAAAACAAATGTTATCACATAACGATGAACTTCATTATCATTTGAATAATGTACGCTTGCATATGTATATGTATATAGTGGGAAATTTTCCATAATTTAGCATCAAATTATTAAAACATTTTATTTATTCCATGGAATTGAAATAACTTTGAAAAATATTGAACCATATACCCAAACGCACAAATGATAAACAAAAAAAAAAAAGTCTTTTCGCTTATTGATGCCAATAAAATTCTTGATAATATTTACTAACCGCTTCTGTTGAAAATAAGTATAAAAAGCAAAAAATCAACAATAAGTTAAGTGGCGGTTTATTTGAACGATCGGAAATCATAATTAAAAAGCATTTGAAATGCTCGGTTTATCTTACAAATCGAATTTGTTCCAATTATTTTAAATAATTTTTTCTTTGTTTTCGTTTCAGTTTATTTTTCTTATTTTTAACAAGAAAGAAAATTGATCCGCGATCCGTTTGCTACCGATGGAGACAGAGTTTTGAATATTTTCTTGAAACTCGGCGACTAATTAAAAGCAATCACTAGAAGCGTTCTCCTCTTGCCTGCCGCAAGATGATAATGACGATGATTTCCTATGAAAAACGCCGAGCTCCGTTGCTCTTACTTATTGAAATGTTCAACCAGTGAATTCTTATCAAATTCTATAATATGAAATTTTTCGTACATATATACACATGAGATGGATTACTCTCATTGCACCAATTTCTCTTTACTCTTGACGAATTATAAACACACGCACGCCACGCAGTATAAACATTTTCTTTAGAATAAAAAATTTTCTTTTATTGGTTCTTACTAATTTACTTAAAACAAAACTTTTATTTACTTTTTTTTCTGTTTTTTTTAACAAAGCAACAAATTACTCTCATTGTGTCAATACTTACTGACTAACTAAATAAATAAATAACAGGAGCAAGGAAGGAACAACTTATTTATGAAATAAATGTTGAACTTAAACGTTAGCAAATAAATAAACCAAAATGTTAAGATTTCTCTTTATCTAAGCTGTAATCTTGAAATTATTCTTTTTGACTTTTATCTCCCTCCATTTTATTCTCCTTTGGTGTAGACTTTGCTGTCTGAGATATTAAAGTTGCGCCTTTATATCCTGTTCTCTGTCTTACGCGCAGCCATAAATGTTTGTAAGGATTTTCTAATTCACTGGGCGTCTTTGTTATACGAAAAGCCCGTCTTGCACCCGGCGACATAAGTAAAAGATTTTGAGTTAAACCATAGCAGCTAGAAGAAACCCAATATACCGTAAGTGCTGACGGAACGGTACATGCTATTGGAACCATTAGCAAACTGAGCCCACGGAAAATATTTGTTACAAACTTTTGAAAACGTGTAGCGGGTCGTGTACGTATCATAGATTGAACCTGGAAATATATATACGCGAACGGATATTTAAGCAAATAAAAAAATATATTCGTCTTATAAGTGAAGTCTTCGTATCAAATACAGTATTTTTAGATATAATTATCGCAAATTCAATATTGAGTTGTTTTGTTTTAATATTGTTACCTTTTACGTATTTATGAACGAAAAACATCCATTACCAAACGTAATAGGGTAAACGCAATAACATTTGTAGTTTCAGGCTTCGATCATTTCTATGATTCAGGCAGACCGACAAAACCAGGCAAACGCACTGATAGACAGATGCATTTAAATCAACTCGATACATACATACATACATCACGGAGCATTGGCCCAATTGATTTTTATTAAAAGGTTAAAAACTTATTTTATTCAAATCGCCACCCGCCGATATAAAAAACACGCCAAAAGATTATTACCTCTATTATAGCTAAATTGATGATACCCAATGTGACTGGCAATATGTAAGAATTATCAACTTCGGTAAGATTCGGTATCCATCCAAAACCACCTATTGTCATTTCGGTAACCACAATTTGTGCTTGCAGTGAAGTAGGATCCGGTAGCATATTTACCAAATTACGCAAGGCCACGGATTGAAAAATCCACAATGGTATTTGTCCCCATAACACAATAAATGTTTTGGCAGGATGACAATTTTCACGTATAACCAATGTCTTCCACTGCTTTCGAAGCTGCCTTAAAAAAAATTGATGCTACGAGTTATTCAATACCTTTTTGAGCATCGATTTTAAGTACTTGCCGATCTGTTATAAACCATTTTGGTTTGTTGCTCTGTCCATTTGAAAGTCTTCATAGCTAAGTTAGCCTCTTTTTTTAATTCGTTTACAATGGCAGGCATTTCGAGTGATATTTTTTCCAGGCGGGCAGTAATTTCATGTTGATAAACCGTTAGTGGCAACGTTACTAAACTACGAAATAATATCGTAGAAATAACAATTGAAGCCCACCAAGGTAAACCGGTAAAATCATGTATATCAACTAAACTTTGTTGCACATAAGCCACAGGTGTGCTATTTGAGATTGATTGCCAAATATTGGCTAGGAAACCGATGGTTTCTACTGGTGGCGTCGTAGTATTGAAACGTACCTGATTATATTTCACGAGCGTATACTTTTGAGGAGAGTTAGTTTGATATATTACAGTACGATGACCTTTAAAGGACAGATTTAAATAGCTAAAGTGACGTTTTATCAATTTTCCTGCACAATTTATTGAATTTATTCTAAGTAAAGGTAAACAAAGATTCATCATTTCTTCGTTTATTTTTGTCCAAAAGAAAGACTTATTCAAAAATTTCTAATATGACCGTGAAAGAACCAGCTGTTTTTCTTCTTCTTTTTTGGTAATCAGCGTAAATATAGCATGTTTTTCAATGGATGATGCCAAGTGAAGAAAACATATAGCTCTCATGTGTGTTCAGCAACGTTGTAATGTCATACTATGAACATAAGCGATCTTAATATTGACAAATACATAAAATGTTCATTATACCCTTGATCCAAAATAGACATATGTGCGCTGCAGACTTGCACTTTGGTAAGTCGATGTATGCATGCTTTCTATCTAAGCGGAGTGGCGTTGAATGTTACTCCTCAACAAATATATATATTTAAATATTTGAAAGAAAAAATTCAATAAAATTGCAAATACTTATTAATTGTCCCTTACTAGAAGCATAATATATTTAAAGTATATATAACGCATAGTAAAAAGACCTTCAAGATAAGACTACACATTCATATACGAGATGCATAATATTTTTTTTCGGAAAATAAATTGTAGTACAATCCTATAACCCGTACAAAATAATTATAAGTTATTTCTCGTTTTCTCTGCGCCATATTTGTAAGGAATGTGTTCATTTTAGATACAATTTATAATCCCACTTGCGGAATGCAAAGAACTCAAGTCGTGTCAGAATTACTGTTAAACATTGTCTTACGGTTAAGTTTCAATATAATTGTAGCCAGTTAAATTTAACTAACACTTGTATTTAATAAAAACGGGAATATAGATAAACGCTTAAAATACACTATAGATGCTTGACGTTTCTTGTATAAAAGCACATATTCTATCGAATGCATAAACATTTAATTGACATCACTGTCAGAAAAATACAAGGAAGCAGAAGAAAAAGGTATTTTTTCGTACATAGAAAAAATAAGAAGTGAACTGCGTTTAATTATATTTTAATATATCTACAGCAAAATTCTTATTAAATAAAATCCTAAATACGCCTTCATATAATATAGGAAAAAATAATAAATACGAACGAAGTTTCTGCGCCTAACAGGAAAATATAAAAAAAAAAAATATTTGTATAAAAAACAAATCGCAAATGAACTGGTAAGTAAGAGAATTGAAAAAGTGGAAAAAGTGAAGGAAAGAAAATATACATAAAAAAAAAAATTTGGAAGACAATTTTCCGTTTGTGTGAAATTTTCAAAATTTTTTTGTGTCTATAATTTTTTTTAAAATTAATTAATTGAAATAAAATTCTTGATATTTTCATTGCATTAACGCGCGTTTGCTGGCGAACAACATAAATCGCAACGACGAACAACAACGTTGTGGTGTGGTCCTTTACGTTTTTTATGCAAAAAAAAAAAACAAAAAAATCCAATTTTTTTTTTGCGACCAACCCATCGCCTTACAACAATTTCGGGAATTGCTATCGCGTTTATTGTTGTGTGTTGAACATTGTTGCTGTGACTCGGCTGCTGCTGTCGGTGTCGCTGATACTGTTATATGGTTGCTATTGTTATTGTTGTGATTATAATCGTTTTGAACAACAAACAACCGCATAAAAAATCTAGACAGAGATAAAAGAAATTTATAGAGGAAATAATTTTCGCAGCAATTTTGTCTAGAAACCTAACCATACGAGGATAATTTTAATTCCATTCTATTCCACTGCTACTTATTAGCTAATTAAGAGCTTAAATTAAGTGCATCTGTGAATAGTTGTAATTACAGTAGCTGTTGTTGTTGTTGTTATTGCAGTTGTCGTTGGTTGCCGTCATTACCAACACCTTTAAAAGTGAATTCCCCAAATAAGAAGTGCTGCGGGTTAGAAAAGGAAAGAGAAAGAAAGAAGGAAACGATAATTATAAACATCAAACACTGTACGTTTGCGGCACAAAGAAAGAGAGGCTTTTTCCCATAAATTTTACTGCTGCGTGCGCTGTGTGCACCTCCACTGGTGTCACCACCACATTCAAAACAATCTCTATAGCGTCACTATCGCTAACAGACGTCAACAAAACGACACTTTGCAGTTCCTTTGTTTCCTTAGAATCAAGACATGAATCGTAATTCACAAAAATGGGGCGAACTACCCACTTTGGTATTGGGTCAAATCTACGAATATTTAGAACCGCGAGATCGCTTAAATGCCAGTTTAGCCTGCAAACATTGGCGCAGTGTTCTCTTTCAAAAGAGGTAAGTGCTAAATCGCAATTCTTTCTTACAATTAATCGAATTACTGAGAACTCATAGGAAGTAGGGTATTTTATAACTGAAGAAAACTTTATGTGCATTTCACTTTATTCACTTTTCCTGTGTTTTGCAATACACAGTGGAAAACGGTAAAAACTATTGCTGATATCGTCATTAACGGTTTTCATTAACAGTTATATTGCTTTAATACAAAAAATTCTCTTTTATATATTTCGATAATATTTTCATTATTATTATAATTTGATGCAATGACGTAACTAACAGAGAAAAGTAGTGCAAAGAGTGGGAATCTCGGCTCCATTCTTTCAGAATAATCTTATCTTTTTACACAAATAGGGGAATATACCCCAAACTCAATGGTCATCTTAAAAAAAAAAAAAACAAGCAGAAGAAGAAGAAGAAGTAAAAATACTGTAATAAATTTATAAATTTTATTAATCAGAATGTCGACTAGAGATTGTTGATTCAGATGTGATTGCGTGATTGTTGAAATATTGAAAGGGTCATGCATAATTTTTCTTGAGATTCCTATCGCAGCCGCAACAAGAAAAACTTAACTTTATGAACATTTCAAGAATAATTTCTAGCGACGTGTTCAGATTGGTAAGATGAGACTGAATTTATGCAGACGAAACATAAGTAACAATATAATCGATTTTGGCGTAGAATTGCTGTTTAGCTAGACGATAGGTTTTTTCCACAGCGCCACATGCCATTAAATAGAAAGCTTGGTTTTCCAATAGCCAAACTTGAGGCGCTTAAAGAAAGTTTGTATGCCTTCCATTTGTTGATTATTTTATATTACCATCGCTGGTTTTATTGCGACTTTCCTTTTGCCCATGTCAAAAAAAGGAGGATCTTAAGACTGGCCATAACGATTTGGCACACGGTCTATCCTGATATCCCATGCGTTGTGCTTTCATTGTCTTCTTTAAAAAAGGACAATGGCAAGATGATTACAACTTTCTGATAAGAAAAGACAACACACGGAAATTTGTATTTTCTAAAGCATGCACAATTTATGATACAAAGGATATTATGTTTGTACGCCTTTTTATAATACCCAAAAGCTTTTAAGAAAACTCCGCCTTTATAATGACCATTCATTCTAAGTCACTTACTGAATCGACTTAAATGTGTCAATCTGTGTGTCCGTCTACAGAGCCGGTTCCATAAATTTCAACGTGCAGATAGCAATTTTTGAAATATTGTAATGAAATTTGTTGTAGGGAATTGCAAACCCTATTAAAAAAGGGGCGGATCAAACCGGTTTTCCCGCCAATTCCCATATAATTCATTATTTCGAAAAGTCGTGATATGAACACAATTGCAAATCTCAAAAATCGCTGAGCAATAAATAGTACACCGCCGCACTAAATTGGTAGAAAAAATTTAGATCAGGTTTCGAGCCCCATCTCAAACAACCATTCCTACGAAAAATAAGCAGCCTCTGTAGAGGAAAAACATGAATTAATATGTTATGGTAAAAACTATTTCATAATAATAATTTAACATAATGAGTCTAGTGCGTAAATTTGGATATCGTGGGCCAGTTTTTTTTTTAGCAAATTTTTCGAAGAAAAGAAGGTATCGAGACGCACGATTACTGTAAAATTTGCCGTATGTGTTGGCTTATGATTTCAAAATTGATTTAAATAATGAAATATTTCTATTTATTACGTGTATTCAAATGCAAATAGAAAAAATAGAAAAGTTAGCCGAAATGTAAATCGAGTATCTAATGTTTGCTTATCATAATTTCTTCTCTATTGTAGATTTTTCACAAATTTTAAGTTAAAATTACATGTTGACAATGATCGTCAATGTAAATTTTTCCGACATACTCTACATCATCTAACGAGTGAACTTATCATCATTTTCGACTTTTTAAATGTTTTCCATATTGAAAAAATACGACGCATCTTATATAAGTAAGTAAAAATACCTGTCGGACGGTTATCACTCTTATCTATTTTTGCTTTCAGGTCATGATTTAATGTATATATATATATATATATATATTTATTTTGTGGCTTTTATTATTCTTTTAGAATTGCACGATGTGATAATTTACAAGGTTTACGTTTTCAAACGAACAGCGTTGGCCTGGTACCACCTGGTGATATTAGTGAAGAAAGTCTAGTCGATATTGAGCAGTAAGTTTGTTAACCTTCGTTCTTATCATTATTTGCTTTTTTAAATAAGCTTTATACGAATATTTTTGTACTCATCATCAAAATGTAATGCTATGCCAACTATGACATTGCGTTTGTAACGTTCGAAGATAAACATCAAAACTCAACAAAGTGCATATATTTCCAATCAAAATCCAGATTCAAGATCAAAAATCGCCTTATAGTTGTTTTTTTCGTCCTGCAAACTGTCAATAAGTGATAGTTACCTGAATTCCAAAGATCGACTTTGTCTTCTGTAGTAAAAAAAGTTTCCGTGAGAAATCAACCTTCAATTCTTTTCATCAATTTTTTTCTTTTTTTTTTTTTTTTGTGAAATGAAGGACAGATCATATATTTTAGCTGATGGGGTACAAAAGATTCGTTCTATATGACGGCGGATACAACTCTCTTACTAATTTTATTTTGCTTTAGATTTTTTGTGGAACCTTTAAAATTATTTTTGAGTCGTAAAAAAACGCCCTGCAAAATATTGGATTTAGGTGCAATTGAAGCTTTAACCTTTTATGGCTTGGACTTATTAAAGGCTTTAAGCCGACCTCAAGAGTTAAAAGCATTAACACTGGCCTCAATCAAATATGATCCTAGTCATTATCCCATGTTTTCCATGGAGAACACGTTGCTGCAAAAATGTAGCACATTGCAGGTGCTTTCTCTTGACTATGATACATTAACTGAGGAGCTGTTGCATGCCATAGAAATTTTACCTCTAAAAAAGTTTTTAATAAGCGTTCATGGCTTGGATCGACATCATCGAGGCATTTCGGAAAGGGCGTGGTCCGAATTTTCAGCTAACTTCAATAACATTGAATTAATAGTTTCATTAATCTATGCATTCGAAGCTGTTGAAGTTTTGCAAGTTCGCATACTACGACAAAATATGCCCATCACCCACCTTCGAGTGCTTTTTTGTGATTATGTAAGTAACGAAAAAAGCTCGAATAAGTTTTTTCCGGTTTTTCTTTATCTATAGCGAACATTTATTTTACAAAATTCTAAAGAGTATTTTATTTCAGACTATTTTTTCCACCTTAGCCATTGATTTTGCTATCTTTCTGACGACATTTGATTTTTGTGCGGACAAAATCGCCTCTTGTGTCGTTCTAAGAATCGAAATGCCATTCAACGAACTATAAGGCATCGATTTAAATAGGTGTCGTCGATGCTTTAGTTTTACCGACAATGTTATTAGTCCGATTAACGCTAACAGTGATCTTTTGTAATTCGAACTATCGTAGCACGTGCACTTTTTCACCGAGTGTTTTTCTGCGAATCAATCAAACCCTGCAAGCGCACTAGCTGTTTTTTTTTTTTGCATTGTTCTTAAATTAATCGAAGCTAAAGAAACTATCCCCTCTGTAGTCAGATTAATTGCACTGTTACGCAAAGATTAGAAATAATACTTTAACATGAAAAAGTCGTGATATTATTCAACATATTATCATGTTGGTTTTGTCCTCCCTTGGGAAACCGGAACAGACTTATTCATTCATATTTCATAACTTCACTTTCACTTTAGTGGAATAAATTTTTTTTAATTAGATGAATGTTGAAGCGTTAGAATGGATGTCTATTAATAATAACAACACTTTAAAGAGTATACAGTGGATTGATTCGGTAAGAAAATCATTTTATAATATAAAAACACTTCATCTATATTTTTGGTTTTCACCTTTTACTATCTCCATTTAGGCTTATAAGCATTCCGATAAGAATATAATGGATTTATTTTTACGTTCTGGACAAGATCCATTTGTTATGATGTCGTGGCGTTGCAAAAATTTGGAAGAAATTGTTATACATGGTTATGTCTTGGATCCACATAATATTGTTGGTATTTCTCGTTTACGTGGCCGCACTTTGAAACGTCTTGAAGTGTCGATGATTGATAGTACGCCTACCGAGGCCAGCATGGATTCGTTTATTGAGGTTGGTACTTAAGAAATGAGTTAATAATATTTGCTCTACTCTGAATCTTGACTTTTTGTACTACACGTATGTGTTGATGCGTATAAATCGACATCTACAGTGCTATAGATACACCGGCATTTAGGCCTCGTATACAAAATATAACCCAGCATTTGAGTTTTGTTCCAAAGCAAGCAAGCCACTTCCGAAAACTTGCATGCACTATTTCAATTTGACAAAAGCATCTAATTGGCCAAGAACCCTAAATACAAAAAACCAAAAAAAGAAGTGAAAAAATTATAGTCGAGCAAAGCCGACCAGTAATTGTGCCTCATTTTCATGAAAATCCTGATGCTGGAAGGTGCTCAAATTGTTCATTTAATTTACGTGTCTTTTATTATTTTTCATTTGTTTTTGTTATAAAAAAACACATATTAGACCTTTTCGTTATGTATGGGCATCATGAAACTAAGAAATACGCCTATATGGTCCAAATTCGCTAAAGTTAATTCCTCTACTACAAATACTATTGTGGACAAGTTTTGATCTTGAAATTTAACAAGGTGAAACTTTCGAAATACTATTACTCAACGATTTTTGCTAGGAAAAATTGAAAATTGTCCTTCACGTAATTATTTAAAATAATGTCTTATATGACGAGTGGTCTAAGAAGCGATTCGGCCCACTTTGTTTTCAATAGATGCAAGAACAGTGCGTTGAACACAAAATGACACCGAGACACACCAGGTGAACAGACATGTGTAAGTTAATTCAAAACTTGTTTCTGAAGCGATCAGTAGTAGAATAGAAGGTTGGTCTTTCTTAATCCTTCTCACCTTCTATCACAAGCGATATATGAAATAAAATTGGCGAACAAGTTCATATCTACGATTAACATCAACATATGCCGATTCTTGTCTAAAAGCCGGTGAATAAATAATATTGAGAAAAATATTATCAATATTAATATTTAATTTGTAAAATATGCTTTAAATGGAATTTAGATCTTTTGGGTGGTCAGTAGCGTAAATGTCTTATTCTTTGAGTTTATAACCCTCTTCCCTCAAATTTTCATTTATTTCGATCGCTCACTGCCTAAGCAGATGAAGAATGAATGCAATGGGTGGAAATTTGTATTTTAAATCATTTATCTAAAAGCAAGAGAATCTTGATTAAAATAGTTTCGATTAGGGGAAAATTTCGGCAAGTTTATAAAATTATGATTATGATGGTATTATTAAATGACAGAATATTAGTTGCAACTTTCATTTACTTTTTATTTATTTTATTGCATCTTAGGAAATTAATACATTGTTAGGTCAAAAATGGGAGCCCTTAAACCTAAACAATGTGCATCCCGCGCTGGGTTATTTGCCTGTGCCAGATGACGTGCGCGATGAATATGTTTTCGATCTCATACGACGTGATATTTCCAATTAATTGAAAGCGAAACAAAGAACAATCAATCACAACAACTAACAAACAATAACATAGTTATCAACTTTATGGAGAAACAACCACGAAAGCAAAATAGCGTTTTTTCAGGTTTCTAAAAACTGAAGAAAGAGTAAAAAATCATTAAAAATACAACAAATAACTTTAATATTAAGTTAAAATCGAAAGCAACCTAAAGAAAAATTAAGGTATAACCGTTAAGATGTAACACAATCAACAACAAAAACATCGGTCAAACATATACTTCGGAAAAAATGAAAAAAATACAGAATATGTAAGGACAACAGCACATACGTCATGTCTACCAGTGAGAAGAAGAGAAAAATATTACAGAACTAATCAGCAACTGAATAACGATCCGTTGAAAATGGAAACATTTACTAAGTATAATTTCGCTTCTAATGGCAATAAAATAGAAAGACAGACAACTATAATAACAACAACAGCAAGTATTCATCAATAAGTTTCTTTTTTCCTCATACATATACTTAATATAATCTTAATGCATCTAATATAATGAATTAATTGTGTGGGTAAAACGAAATAATAATAACATACAAAGGATATGGTTTAAAATGCATGACAGTGATACATATACATATATTCGTACATATAAATGTAGCTATATTTTTCTATTAATTAATTAATTAACCCTATTATATAATTTGGTTTTTTTTTTTTTTTTTAATGGCTATACATTTTTTTAATTATTATATATATTATCTGTATACCTTTATATACATATATAGAATGTTCATTGTATAACTTTTATTTAATTTTTTTATGAACGACCTTTCCAAATTTCATTTTTGTTTTCTTAATAATCATTTCGTTTCTTGGTTTTGTTCACAATTAAATTGCTAAACAAATAATGAGATAGAAAACAGAACGACAATGACTAGGTATATATATATATATATATATATATATATATATATATATATGCAATGACTGGATATATATATGCATATATATTCATACATGTATATGTTATGTATGTATGTATATATCTTTATATATATGTATGTACACACATATATATATATATATATATATATGGAGAGGTGTGATATGATATTAAATTAAAAAATATTTTTGTTTTGCTTTTGATATTATTAATCCCTTTCCGATTCAATTTTGACGAAGAAATGCTCCTTAGTTGCTTTCTAAAGGAATCATTAATCAATTTTTTAGAAAATTTATAAAATAAAGCAAAGTAGAGCTCCTACACCACCATAGGATTAATTAAAAAGGGGAAAATATATTTTCTATATTAAGTGAAATCGATATGCATTTGTGTTTAGAAAACAACGGGCAAATAAAGTCCATTTAAGAAGACTAATTTTAATATATTATGGCGAGCCAGTAAAAACAATGGTTAACTTATGATATGATAGACTTTATATACTATTTTTGTTTTTTCTTTTTGTTATGTCATTTTTTGTAAAGAAGAAACTGTTTTTTTATTTCGGTTTCGTTTTGGTTAAAAAAGAACTTAAAGGTGGTGTAGGGGATTAAGAAATTTTAAGAAAAAAATTATTGGATAATATATTCCTTTTTTTTTTTGTTTTTCTCAATAATTTATTATATTTTCTTTCTTAAAGAAATCAGTGCTAAAAATCTATCTATAATAATATATTAAAGTTTTTAATATCCTCAGCGTTTCCAATAAATTTAAATGTAAAATTTGTCACTATAGTCGTGACCTGAGAGAACATGACTAACAGCTCAACAATAATCCATCAAAGTAATTGAAAATGAAAGAAGATAATAGCATATTACACAGAATTAAATTGACAAAATAGATGAGAAATCATGGAAAATGTAATAATTATATCCGTTTATTGATTTTTATAAGCTTTTTCCAATGGCTAATGTCTGTGTGAAAGTTAGCCTCTTTAGACATTAACATCAAAGATGAGCAAAACAATTCGCATCGTGTGCATGATTCGTAACGGAAAGTGAAAGTTTTGAAGAATTGAAATTACAAATTAAAGCGACAAAAGTGACAAAATTTTTTTTTCTAAAATATATGTAAAGTATTATCTTGATAAACTTAAGTTCATTGCCTATTATCATTTGTAAATCTCATTAGCATGAGGATATCAAAAACAACACGACGCTAAAGAAGAAATAAGTTAGTAGATAAAAGTAATGCCTAGAATAAGAATAATAAGAGTAGCCTGTTTATGCCATGCAACTAAATCGTACATTTCGTAATCGAAGCCGAAAGTAATCGGAAATTTTATTTTAAAATCTTATCTATCTATTTAGTTAAAATATACAATCATTGGGAATTTATGTAAAAAAAAAAAAAAAAAAAAAAAAAAAAATGTCTTATGTCAAGACTTATTAATGATTTTCTTTATTAGATTGATCATACGAATTAGTTGCTTAAAGTAGCTTGGGCACTCTTTGCAAACATTATTGAGAAAAAAAAGAGTACATCAAACATTCATGTAATATATTTCTATTAAGTAAATCCTAACAATATGATATAATACAAACAAATAAACAAACGACATCCTAAAGACTTAAGCACTTCACAAGTAATGACGTACAACGGCGAATTGTGAAACCTGCTAAAAAACAACAATAGCAACAACAATTGTAACAACATCTGTGATTAAATGCAAGCCATCTCTTAAGAATAAATAAACAATTATAACAAGAAGATAAAGAAGAAAAAGAACAACAACAACAACAACAACAACAACAACAACAAAATGAAGAAGAAGAAGAATATAAAGAACGCTAAAAAGCAAATAAACATGCAACAATAAAATGTGAATTTGTTAAAATGATAAAGAAACAAAGGAAAAACAAAAACTCAAAACAACTTTACATATATAGAAGATATATAAGAAAAAGGCAACAACAAATTATTTATTTATGTATTTACTATATAATAACGAACAAGTTATTTCTTTAGTTATCAAAAATATTCCAAACTCAAAAATCATTCAAATATCATTGAAAAAAACAAAAAAAGAAAAACAAAAACAAAGAAACAAATATTATTTTTTCTGCGATAATTATGTTTAGTCAAGAAGGAGAAGAAATATTATTTTTATCTGTTTTTATTTTTTTATAACAGCAGTTACTGTAAAACAAACAATTGTTTTTTTTATTTTCTTTTTTTTTTTTTTATATTGTACCCTACACTAAAAGTTATGCTAACCGTTGCGTTAGAGGCCTTTAACCTTAGACCTTAAAGATGTGTATGTGGCTTAATTAATAAAAAAAAAAATAAAAAATGAAAAATCCAGCCAAGTCCGACTGTCCTACCATGTTTCTAGATGTTCTATAGAAACAAAATTTTGATTTGAAAATTTAAATAAAAGTTGCAGAATACTTGTCAATATAACGGTTAATGATTTATGAAATGAAAGGTGAAATTTTTCGTAATAAAGATTTTTGAAATCTTCCCTTGAATTGTCTTCGTCTCCTTGCCTATTTACAATGGAAAAAGACTCCCATTTGTCTTTTTTTGCCATTATAAATGACGCATTGTCCTATCAGCGGTCACCTAGATTCGGATGGGACAAGGGAAATTATTTCAAACGATAATTTATTAATTAAATGTTTTCGCCTTAATTTCCTAAAACGTCTGATTGATAAGATAATTCTGCAACCGTGTTCCCTGGATAACGAAATTAATTCAAATAATTTAAGTCTTAGCTGTTTTTACTGCCGTATGGCGAGTCGCTGTCAAAATTCTCAAAATCGTGTCCACACTTTCTATTCCGCAAATATAAATACATATTTACAAATCCCTTATGAGATGATCTCCCCTAATTCCCCTTTCTTTTGAAGCATGTATATATATATATAAATGAACCTAGGTGACGGGTATTGAAAAGTTCGGTCCAAGCCGAGTATAGCATTTTTTAAGAACTTATTAAGAACTACTACAAAATAAAACAAGAAACCAAACAAAAGTTCCCTAAAATATTTTAAAAATAGTTTGTTATAGTTTAATTTAAAGAAGCAACAACAACAACAACAACCACAAAGCAAGCAAAGAATTTATATATATTTAGCTCAAAAATTACTAGAAAAAGTAAAGGAAAATTGAAATATTTTCACAAGACCTACATACAAAAAGGAAGAAAATAATCAAATTATGTGAAAAAAGAAGAATAAACAGAGTAAGGAAATAAACAAACAAACAAACAGCTCAAAATCCTAAAAAATACAAATTTGCAAATGTGATTAAGAGAGATTCAAAAGAATGCTAAAGAACAACAAAAACAACCAAATAAATAAAAGCAAAAAAAAAAAAAAACAAAAAAAACAAAAAAAAAAAACAGAAAAAAAAGACGCTAATGTATTTGTTAGTTAATTTATATATAGAGAATGTAACGAACCAGCCTATCGACTAAACAATCAAACCAAACTATTGTAGAAAAATCAATTAATTAAATCAATTGAAATCAATCTCTAATATGTAAACGATCGACCGACCGACCAGTCATACAAATTGCATTTGTCTGAGAGTCTATGGTATGAAAAATTATTAATGCTGTCTGTACACGCATGTGTTTTACTGTTATTATTATTTCTTTTTTTTTTTTCGTTTTTTTTATTTCCATTTTTCCGGTTTTCTTTAATGTATACAACAAGTGCAATTGCAATATTGTGATAAAAAACCAAACAACAACAAGAACAACAGCAACAACATACAATTACTAAGATAGGAAAGATCCCCTTTCAGTGATGGATATTTTTTGTTATACGAAAGGAAGAGAAGAGAAGCAAAGCATTGTTTTCAAAATTTGATCGAATCGTTAAATGAGTTCGTTATTATGTTAAAAGAGAGATCTCACGACAGACTGCAATGCAATGAATGAAATGTGCATGTTTTCCAATGCAAATATATATATATGTATATATACATATGTATATATACAATAGGTTGGAGGGAAAGTTCTGCCGTATTTTAAAGAAAATATTTGAATTCATTTATAAAAATACGTGTTTAATATTAATCCGTTATATATGCCCCGTTATGTGTTATAACCTGTTGCCATCTGTCAGGTAACCTGTGAATCCTTATTACCTGTCTCACTAACC